CTGACCAGACTTTTCCTTTAAAGTTCTTATTTCTCCACAGCGATCCCAGCTCTGATGTTCGACTTTCATTTCTGGCTCAAACCTGCTGACTCTTAAAGGAAAAAAAAAAAAAAGTCTTTTAAAGACGGTTTCAGTTTCACTTTAATTTAGTGGCGTTCTCCTTTAGTCCATCAGCAAACCGACCGGTTCTCCATTCAGTCACTAAAGGACAGAAATGTACAAAAACATAAAAGAAAACACTGACATTGTGTAGATATATAAAAAATAACACTATGTTAACAGTAATTATAATATATATATAGGAGTTCATGATGGAAACTTTTTCAGAAACCTTAATTTTACAACAAATTCCAGCTTCAGGAAAACATCCCGTCAGTCATAAAGCAAAATAAACCCATTAAATTAATAATAATAATAAAAAGCTTTAACATACAGTGCATTAATACTGCTCCTTCTGTTATAATGTGCAAGGAATAAAATGTTTAGATTGTGCCAAGCAACTCTGTGTGAGTCTGTGTGCGAATGCAGAACCTGTTTCTGCAGCAGAACCGAACCCAAAAACATCCATAGAAACAAAAATCAAAGCAACTTTTGGTTTTAAAGCGTTTTTGAGAGAAAATCAAGCAGCTTTGGAGTCACCAAGGAATGTTTTTTCTTCCCCACCAGCTTGCGCCTGGGGTTTGTGCAGAGCTCAGTTCTTTAAAGGTTATGTAAGGTTAATCTCCCTGTGGACATGCTGCAGCGCCCCCTGTAGCGCAACACCAGTTTATTTTTCTTTTTTAAAAACTTTCCGTTCTGAATCCGCCATGCTTTCCAGCTGCAGATATTTGTGCGAAGGCCTTAAAATGCCTTGAATCAAATCAGTGCGTCCTGCTCCCTCATCAGCCAATCAGCCGGTGAGCTCCACAGGAAGCTCCCGGCTGCACAGCGCCTCCCACTGACGGGCGAGGAGCGAGATCAGCCTCTCTCTGCTGTCGGCTCCGGGTACGAAGACGCACCACTGCACCTCCCCCTCGGCCCCACGGCTGGCCGCGCCCCCTGTGGGCGGAGCCTCTTCTCCTGTGGCAGCAAAGTGGTCCATGGTGAGGTGGCAGAGCAGGTCGGGGCCCGGCAGGTCATCGAAGACCAGGGTCAGAGCCTGAGGGTAGGTCTGGTATCCCAGTAAGACCCGGTCCAGATCCCGGATCCGCCGCGCCTCACAGAGCTGGTAGCGCTCCCTGCAGCGGGAGAAGATGGAGGCAGAGAGCAAACATGACGCTTGGACTAATGTTTACCACATAAAAACCAGGAATAACATTTTTAGCACAGACAAGTCGAAAACTGAATTATTTTGATATCAGAGCAGCTTAGACCCATTTATGCTGCACCAGCCATTTATTTATTATTACTAATATTCATTAGTAATAATAAACTAATATTCATGGCAGCACACACGACCTGGTTTCTGAGTATAAATCATCCTGTAGTGTTCGTGTTCAGCTGCCAGCTGCCTGAAGGACGCGTGGTTAACGCTTTTATAGAGATTTCCTCATATAAAAGCTTAAATAAAGTGATAAAACTGTTTAAAAACACCGTTTCTGCTGCTCATTAAGATTTAGTGCTTTGGTCTGATTTCTTTTCTTCTTTTTTTTTTTAGATTTCTTTCAATTGTCTACAACATTTATAAGTTACAAAAATCCTCTTTCTGAATGTGAAAAGCAGCATTTTTTATTTTTTTTTGCTTTATCTCTTACTTTTTTTTGTAATATTATAAATATACACTTGTTTACACATATACATATAACTACAAAGACATATATATACACACATATACAACTATATCTATACATACACACATACCTACACACATCCACATTTATCCAAGGGGGGGGTGGGGGGGTACTGAGTTTGCCATAATACATGAGGTGGTCTGATTTCAATGACATTTTGTAATCAGAGGTTATGCTGAAATGGCCGCTCCACTGAGCCTGGTTCTGCTGGAGGCTTCTTCCTGTTCAAAGGAAGTTTTTCCTCTCCACTGTCGCTACAAGCATGCTTAGTGTGAGGGATTGCTGTCGAGTTAAAGCAATCAACTGGTTTTCCTTAGATACACTGGAAAAATGATCTAAAAATAAGTAAAAAGGTCTTTAATTAAGTGTATTTACCCTTAATTTGAGCAGGTAAATGAGATACTTTGCCAACGGAATGAATATTTTTACTCTTAAAATAAGATATTTAAATAAAATGCACTTGAAATAAGACAATTATCATTGTGTTTTCTCATTTTAATCTTAAATTGTCTTGTTCCATTGGCAAAATGTCTCTTTTATCTCGTCAATTCAAGAACAAATGCACTTATTTTAAGAAAAAATTACTTATCTAGATTTAGATTTTTTTCCAGTGTAGAAAACTGAATCAATCTGACTGGATGATCTGGTGAACTGGAAAGTGCCCTGAGATGACATGATGTGAATTGGATATAGAAATAAACTGAATTTAATTGAAATATTTTGGCCGATAAGTAATATTTACAAAAGGCAGCAATCCGGCCCTTAACCTGCTTTCTTTGTCCTGCTTCCGAAAGGAAACGTAATTAAAGGTGTTGCTGTAAACCTTTTAACCCTTTAAAGCCCGATCCAAGAATAAAACAAAACAGAAA